ATATTTGACCCCAAAACATTTTTAAAAGTTAGGCAACAAGGTACAAAGTTTGTCTTCCAATGCATCTACTGCAAAGAAAAATCTTCTCACCCTTAAGAAGCAGTAAATATTATCCAAATAAAGTCACTTTGAGATATGTTTGGTACACTGAGGCAACTTCCAGCTACAACTGGCAAATGCAATTACTATTTAGAGTATTTTTCAGGTGCTTTAACATTTGCATGCCTAGATTCTACCATCCTGAAAGTGATGAGGCTCAGCGAGCTGAGCTTTGAAGGCACCAAATATGTTTTGCAGAAACATCAAAAATTATATATCAGTTTATGTTCCAAGTAACTGCATGTTGCACACAATTTTAAAACTAATGAGTAGCACATTCGCAACACATGAAAATACAAAAAGCAGTCTTTCAGTAAGGAAGCCTCTCATTATACTTCTAATTGCTTATCCACTGAACTTCCCACCTATATTTCCTGAAGTGCGTATCTTTCTTTCACTAGGGTTGCCCTAAATTGAGTCCATGCCTTGGTCTTCCTCCTATATGGAAGTCAAAAGTTGTCATAAACACTCTTTCTCAAATTACTGATGACAAATTGCTTTAAAAAAAATCAAAATTATGTGAAATTCAGCAAGTTCAATGAAGTTTCTTTCTGAAATATTAATATAAACCCTGAACTCAGAAGAATGAAAATCATATGACTGAAAAGCTTTCATAATAACGCAATTTCAACTGCTTTCTCAAGATGAGCCTATGATGACATGAAAAAAGAAGAGGCATTGACATTCTCCAAACCTGTACTCAACCTCTTGAATAAATGTTTCATCTAAATGTTGATACTCATTTGTCTGATCTCTAAACGTTAAGAGTTTAACTGTTTAAAACCAAGAATTCCAACTAATGCACCTTGCCAGAGCATATAAAGTGCAATGCAAGTCAAAGCACATTAAAGATAAGCATGTGTTTAATGGCAATATTCACTTCTATTACTTCAATCCTGACAATAAGAAGGACAGGAAATTAGGATCGTTAATCAAGGATCTGGGCAGAGTGTTCCACAATGTTCAAAGTACTTAATGTAATGAAGTTTAGTTAAACCGCTTTCTATTAACTTTCCAGGCACAGATAATTTCTTGCACTTTAAAAACAGAAATGTTGATATGTAACATCATTATTATTTTCAGCTGCCTGTAGTAATAACAGATCCACCCAGAGTATGGAACCTCAGAGTGTGAACAAAGTACAATTCACTTTAAGAAAGGTTAAGGATGTCCTTCCAGGCAGACACAAAAAATTTTACTGCAAATATTTTAATCACAGCTATTGAATACTAAGAAAATCTTTGACAAACACAACCTTCCTTGTCTGTAAAAATAGTAAGCACACAAGAAAGTGGGAGATCTTATCCCAGAATTTTAACTGACAAAAAAGGCAGGGGATTCAAAGCAATCACAGATGTACCACACCTTGACTTATCCAATAAAGTTTTCACCAAAGCCAACTTTCATTTAATAAAAAAAAACAAAGGGGGAGAAGGCAGTGAGGCTCTGTGAAGTGCTTTCTCAGCATCAAACAAGGTACTGACTGCTAGAGTATTTGACACTCATTTAATGGATGAAAGGGAAAATTACATGTCAGTAATTCCTGCTGTCATAGTCCTCAATACCTAACCCTGTGCCAGAGACTTTCAAGGACAAACATGATGGTTCCTTCCACTTGTAAATAAGGAGGAAAAAGATCAATCAATAAATTCATGGATCTGAAAGTCTGTGTTGAATTCCTTCTTTTACACAACCCTATACAAAGGAGTTCAAGATAACACCTAAAACAAGCAGAGAGAAAGAAGGAATATATAGTTGCTGTTGGACTTCTGAAAGGAATAAGGTGGATGAGAAATGACAGGGCTATGAAGAGCAAATTAGCAGTACATACTTTTTAATTTCAATTTTCTCCTTTCTGTGATCCTAATAAAAAACCAGAAACAACTTTCACAAAGGGAGGATTTCCTTTATTGTACCAGTCAGAGGATCTCACACCTCAAGAAATTATATTTAGCTGCTGCTGCTTTTCATGGCATGAAGAGATAACCAAAATGTTGTATGGTATGCTCTAATATAGAAACCTGATCTCTGAATTTCAAAGTTATGAAACAGCGACAGTCAAGGCACTTGCATACATATGGTTAATTGGAGTACACATGATTAAGCAATATTCTCTGATCTTTGGGGAAAACTGCTTGCAGCACAAAACACTTAATTTGGGGTGCAGGCAAGGTAAAAGCCTGAAACGGGAAGACTATTGTAAATGTCTAATGAGTAGCCAGTCGCGATATACCTCTTAGAAAATCAAAGGTAGCTTCACCTTCGAGAAGTTAAAAATAACATGCAGGGCCTTAAGTTCTAGCTGAGGGAACTAAGTGAGACTTTCGCTTTGACTTGAATTAACTTCAATTTTAATTTTAAAAGGACGTTAAAAAACCAAGGGTGAGATCATTAAAGCTCACCTTCCTGTTTTGAAACTAGAAAAACTTTGTCCATTTCTTCAGGAGAGTTCTGATGAACCTTACATTAACTGCAACAGATAACAGAAGTCTCTGTCAGAATGACTCTTCTCATTCTGTTCTTGAAGCTGTTTATCCAAATTTCAACATAGCATAAGAATGAATAGAGTTTATTAAAAATTGGACTTCCTTTCTCATTAAGTTTACACATCCCAGTGAACTATGTAAATGTCTTGTGCACAACAAGAAACTAAACTTTCTGGAAGACTCAATAAGGTGTAATAGTTCATGTTTCATGGCATTTTCGGTAATCCTGATATCTAAGCATCTATCCTCTGGTAAAAGAAGAGTTAATAAAACAACTGAGGGAAAACTGATGAGATAAACAAAAATTAGAAGAGGAAGAAATGTTTAAGCAAGCTAAGGAATGTAGAGAAGAAAACGATACCAAATCTATGAATTCCACATAAAATGCACACTGCAAAAAATACATAGCTTCACTAAGGGGTAGCATCTCTAGACAAGCAGCAGCAAAATATTAGGAGCTTATGTCATTTTAACAGTAAAAGCTAGTAAATCTCCTACAATTTAGACAGGAAGCTGCAGATATTTGTTTCAGATGTACCCATACTGTCCAGATTTCTAAACAAAAGCCCTTTTCCAGGAATCTACTTGCAGTCTTCAGTGAAAATATGATAAATATTCTTTAATAAACTGAAATGAAACTCAATTTGACATTTTAGTTCATGGACTTCTTAAAGATTTAAGTTCCAAGAGTAAAATTTCAAAACTGCAAGACAAAGAAATGAACTAACTTTTCCCATTCTTTAGAAAGAAGGAGAATTTCAGCATAGCACACTCCATTTTCTTGAAGCAAAGAGCTCTATGATCATATACCACAGTATCTTTTATTTTTATTTCACAATAACTGCTGACAAAACACCAACGAGAATGTTGCAATATATTCCTCTTTAACCAACATTGTAGAAAATAAGATTTGTAGTTCTTGATTTTACTATTGATCCATGAAGCTTGTATCCCTCATTTTTGAAAAAAAAAATCTAAGTTGTTTGGAACAACTTTTCATTTTATAAAGGCTCATTTTTTGTTTGTCCAACTTAATAAATGTCTCTATGATCTAAACAGGAAATGCTCTTTTATATCAATTACAACGATATCCAGCAAGCCAAATTCCAGTTACTTTTGTTTCCTCTTCTTACAATCTGTATAAGGCTGAAGGGTCAGAATATTGATTTCTACAGTAGTCCACAAAAGAATGCAGCATGCTTAAATGTTTAACTCAACAAGTGTTTCATCTTATAACCATTTTTTCTAAGAATTTCTAATTATTATTAACCAAATGTTTATGAAAAGTTTATTTCTACCTTCTTTTTAATATAGGGGAAAAAAAACTGACAGAACAGTATTTTTCCAGACACAGACATACTACTTCAGCTAATTCTAATTTATGCAGCATGTGTCTGATTTCCAAGCTTAACACTCATACCTTGTTCAATCCATTTGTTTTGCCTGTATTCTGCTAAGATATGAGGAGTTCACATGATGGGCATGTCATTTGCATAACACTGAATATTATATTCATTCCACAGAAATCTCAAGCAAGCATTCTATATTCCAAATGACTTCTAAAACAAAGTTATTCCACATTTGTTGAACTGATTATGTGAAGAACAAATGATGGATGATTTGAAGATAAAATTCAGTGTATAAACATTGTCATCTACAGCATTTCACTATGCTAATATCATAAAAGACTGCCAGATTCTATTGCATTCATAATTAGAATGATTACATTGTAATTCAGGATGTGTTTTTCATAAAGATTAAGAGAATGAGTTTTAATACAACCAAAGCCAAGTATACCAAGTAAGTTTACCTATACAAGACAGATGTCAGTTCAGATGAAGATTTGTTTCTTCCACTTCAATTACAAATTTTGCTACTGCAATTATAAGTCTAAACTTACACCTGCAACAAAATATTAAAATACTACAAAGAATTTGAACTGCACAAGAAGCATACGTAAACAAGATTACCCATACAACAATAAGGGTAAACTTGGAGAGAAAAGAACAGAATACTCTAAGAAAATATTTTCAAGTTCACAGTATGTTTTAATCAAAGATTTCTTTTACATTTTTGATCTGGATTAAATTCAATGTTCTGTCTATTTTCATAGATGGTCCATGTTAAATCATAACAGCTGTAATCCAAAATGTTTTTCAGCAAAGAGACAGTAGTTATTTTAATACTGGGTTATGATAGACATGACCTTACTTCTTTTGTAATAAATTGCAGATTACACTTTTGGAATGCTTTCAAATTATTTCACACCTTGTGAGTTTGCTTTATTAGACATCTGATACTTTCATGCATCATTTCTTGTTTTTCAGCAGTCCCCATCTATAGCAGAAGCAGGAGTATACCAGGAAAAAAACCTTGCTGCAGAGTTTCAGTATAAATGAAATAAAACAAACTTACCATGTTCCATCCTGGGTAGAGGTAGTCTGTCCCAATAAATTCAAAATAGTGAGCAAAACCCTCTTTCAACCACACATCCTCCCACCAAACTGGAGTCACGAGGTCACCAAACCACTGCAAAGGAAGTTTACATAAAAAAAAAAAAAAACTTTTAGAAAATCATGCTTGCATATATCACATTATAGAGAGCAGATTCTTCACAAGTTTCAATAAAAGCAGTAGCTTATAGCATTCAGAGGACAAGCAGATTTTTTTCATATACTATTGAATTAAGCCTTTTTACAGGATGCACATAAATTACTTAAATAAAATATTAGAAAAGAACTAGTATGCACGGCATTGCTTTATTTATCTAAAGTAGATGCTCACCTCTGTTTAAGGAAGTAACCAATACAACAAGAGAAAAATGTGAAACCAGCTTATTTGAGCTAGGAACACATGGAAACTTCACTATGTATAGTGTGAATATTTAAGAACTGGAAACATAAGCTCTCTCTCTATTCTAGGCCTATATTTCAGCATTTCTTCCTCTGTAAGGTCTGCCTGTTAAGATTTACAACAATACTGACATTCATTGGCCCCTTTCCTAAGGAAAGCTGTTTCATGCAACCTGCCCTGTGAGTAACCCTCAGCACTCTCAAAACAGGGAGTTGATCTGGGTTGTAGCCACAAACCTATCATGGCAGAGGACATGAAGATGCCACAAGGATTTTAGCCAAAGATAGGATGATCGCCAGAAAAGGAATGGGGACAAACAAATACAAGAAATCGGGCTTCATCAATTCTACTGCTCATGAATCACGCCATATAAATGATTGTAATGACTCTGGGCAACCTGGGAATATCTTAACATAAGTGACAAGAGCAGAAACACACACATTATTACAGAAAGTTATTTCACAGTCTCTGTAAAATCCTTTGCCAAAAAACAAACTTTGGCTCCTGGAAACAAACGTATTTTTAATGTGCTCAGAAGAGAGTCATTAACAATCAACAGGGATAATTTTGAGCTTTCGTATACTTTTAAACTGATAGTAAACAGAAAGGGAGCAAATAAGTATTCCAGAGGGAGGCAACACACACAGACAGGTGCTGCTGCTGACACAAGTGAGAGAAGAAAATGAAGGAACATGGGGTTGGCCAAGTAAGCAGTTTCTTTTTAGGATGATTGGCATATCTGAAGGCTTTGTCCAGCATCTCAATGAAAGATCTTGCTTCTGTGCACGTCTTTGTTGAGGGAGAATAGCGCACGGGGAGGATCAATGCCATGACTACGATCCTCCATGAAATGAACACAGGAGCTCCAAAGAACAGATGACAGAAACAGAGATTAACAGATTGCCCCACAGTGTTCAGTAAATAGGATTTGAAAGAAAAATGAAGCAAAATGCGAAATTGAACATTAGCGGCAATGAACTGAAGAATTTCAGGGTAAAAGATGGGGTTGACAAAAGTCTTATTCACATGCTAAGTGAAACAAACTTACTGGATAGTTGAACATAACATAGCTAAGAGTTATTAAATTAACTCTCTACGGGACCAACAGAGATAAAGATTGATCTTAAGAATATTTATCTGAAAAGGTAAAGAACTACTGAGAATCTTTTTATGTATATAATGCATAATTTTAAAAATTAATGCAATATGTTACCAAAGTAGTACAAAAATTATACTTATTCTAGAATACTAAATGATTTCTAACGTTCAAAAGGTTAAACACAGCATCGCAGTGCTTATGTCTTGAATTACGAGACTGCTGAACAGATTAGAAACCAGTAACAGTCAGGGTATACTACAACTACTCAGAAAGAGGTTTAAACAGTAAAACTTATCAAATTTGTAATATATATTCTTGCAACTCAAAATAATTTGTAAAATTATTTGTTAAAGTAGAACAGTGAAATACTTTAAAGTTAGATTAAATAATAAAAAAAAAAAGACTTAAGAAGGAGCCTAGCTTTATCATCTTAGCTGAAAAGTGGAAAATATGAATTTTGCTGCACTCCCAATATTTGTTGTCAGAATCAATATTTCATTTATTCCTCTAGGAGATTAATGTGCTTATTTAGTAATGACAAAATTAAAAGTTTCATTGTCATTTAATCATCCAGGAAGAAAACTATTTAACAGGAATTAAAACAGCATATAATATTAGTATGAAACCATCAGGAATTTGCCTAACTAGTCTTGAATATCATAGAGAATATTACTGTTAGAGAAAGCAGTCCCAGAGAATGCAATTAATGAAGACCAATATTCAAGAAGAATTGTACGATTATCGTTATAGGTGTTACATGTCTGAAAGGGAAACATTAAGTGAAGCATTTCATTTAAGTAATTGCTCATGTATTTATTTATTTGTGTGTTTGAAGAGGGATGCTATTTGCCCTGAGTGACAATGTTATTTTTTTTTTTCATTTTCGGAAAGAAAAACAAATTGAAATACATTGGTTACATAAATTGCTTGTTTCCCTCAGTTATTTGTGTTCATCCTGACGCAAAAGGCACTTACCTTCATTACAGACACACTGAAAAGGTACTCCTTCCCATGCACTTTTCTTACAGATTATTAAAAAAAAAAAAAAAAAAAAAAACAGTGGCTTAGGGTTTTTTAATTTTCCTTATGCATTCATGCATGTTTAAATGAAGTTTTGTGCTCAGGGGGGAGAACTAACAAAAAATTATGGTGATTAAATTCAAACAACTTTTTCTTCAAAGGCTGTAAGTGGGGTTGATCTGTGATATGCAAATAAAATGGATTGCTAATTTAACAGAATTATTTTAATAAATTATGGTAATTATTTTGAGCTATTAACTTAAGATGCTATAAATGTGTGTATTGACTAATATATCATTTGTGTTCTGGGGCTCGGAGGGAAAGCTTTAATGCAGAAACACTCCACCTTCTGCCAATTATTAATTTTTTTTAAAATACTTGAAGTGTTCTAAAACATTCAAGCTGTAATATCAAGCACTAGAAGCCTAAAAATGATGAAACTAATGCTAGCTGCATTAAATACGTCCTTCCTAAAACTTGTATCTAAAATAAGAATCTAGTCAAGCATTACAAAGTCATCTGTGAAGAAATCAGGCATAAAATTCTCTCTTGAATTCTTTGCACGTGTACTTTGAGGACCACAGAATTTCTTTGTAATTCTGCAATGATGCCTCTGTGTTCTAAAAACTGCAGTTCACGACCAAATGCATATAAAATGCTCAATTGGTTTAGGAATTCCAATCTTGAACAGTCACATCTAGTTTACAATCCCAATTCTTAATTTTATCAATTTATTTGAATCTCAGGTATATCATTTGCTGTGTTACTGTAAGGGACAAAGGCATCATATGGCACAGTTCCATACTGTACTAAGATATGTTGTGTATGTATTCAAGTAGACTTTAAAATCAAGGAGTACTATATGATGAAACAGGGCAACGATCCAGTTCTACTTTAATAACAAAAAGAAAAACAAACAAACAAACATATTTTAGGGCAGTTCCCTTTCATCTTATTGGAAATCTTCAAAATTACATTAAATATAAAGTAAAGCTGTAGATATGGAATCTACTTTTGGCAATCTCAGTAGAGATTTTCATTAGTCCTTGTTTTTCAATGTATAAAAATCAGTGAAGAGATATTCTTGAACCACCACAGTTTAGAAGACCAGACTATGAACAAGAGAATGAAAAATACATTGAATAATTAACAATTAAATAGCAGAGGCAAGAGATCTTGGACCCAATCTGACCTCAGTTGAACATAGAGCAAAGATACTATCATTTATGCTCCTGACCTACATGAGCCAGAGTTATAGTTTCCTTGAGGAAACTGCAGCAGAAAACTCTGGTTACAGAATAAATAATACTGTCTTGGCAATATCAGTGTTTTGTGTTATGTATTTTTGGAGGGCTTCTGTCTTTAAATTTTATTTGCAGTTGAATGACCTGTATTCTATGTGACTCAATTCTGCATTTAAAAAGTAGAGTATTAACTATTGTATCAATTTGCCCACTAAGCCAAGCAAGGCCTTGATATGTATAACACTAAAACAAAAACTGCAGCAACAAGAATGAAGGAAGATACTTCTGATTAAGTGAACAGTCCTGGAGTAAAATGAGAACAGACACCAAATAAGTTTCTCATTCGCACTTTTAAGGCCACTTAAGAGCACACAGCTACCATAAAATAAATTCACATATAGTCTTCTCCAACTTTGATATTGTCTGAAGTTCCCAAAATAATAAATTGACAGAGAGGTTCAATGAGAATCAGTTCCAATGAGAATCAAACAAATAAACTTTGCAAGCTATTGATGTTATAATTGCTCACATATTACATATAAACTGCTTTGGAAGGAGAGGAAATTATTTCAGCAGCGAAAAAAATAACTGGAAGCAATGAATTGACTTCAGAAAAAGGAAGACTTGAGCAGAATGCAAAGAAAAAGTTATCAATTGTTGGATTTAAAGAGTTACAGAAAAGGTTCTGAAGGAGACTGCGAAAAACCCTGTACTCAGGAACACTGAACCCCACACTAGAAAAAAACCACTATGTGGCAGAACGTAATACTAACCAGAGTTGGGATCTGGTGATCTAATATGTGTTTTCCACATCTTAATCCTCAGGCACCATGATTTTTCTAGCTGAACAGTGTGCTACTCTACTGTACTGCACAATAAAGAGCATACAACAAAATAAGATGATCACACTGAGAACAAACCAGCAATAACTTTCAATTAAAATGTCATGTTTTAGCTGAGGATTTAATATTCATCTACAGATTTAATGTGAAACATGAATACGAACCAAGCATTATTATTTCCAGGTTCATCTACCGTAACTCTATTATGAAGGCTCCCTTTTATATGGTACTTATATTTGCAGAAAGTGTTAAGAATATGCATTGCATTTTAAAGAATACTGTGTAAAGTCACAGATGTAAGCCATGCTGATTACACAGTTGGATTTTAACCTGAGGACTATGATTATGCCTGTTATGAGTATAAGAAAGGGTTTCCTGGCCCTCAAGCACATTTCTTCAATAACATTTGCATTCCACTCAATATTACTAAACAGTCATAATGTGTTTAGTTGGAGATAAGATGGAAGAAATATGAAACAAATTGTAATATGGATTTATTACAAAGTTTTTTTATTGATAACAATGTTTTTGTACATATAAAGACTCGATTGTCCACCATGAGTGAACAGAGGGTTAATACCAAACTTAAAAAAGGAAAAGAGAAGTGCATGTGTATGTGAGAGGAGACGAGTAAGACTACCAAGTTGATTTCAGCCAAAGCATTTTTTGACATGAATGTGCAACTCAGTATGAATCTGCTATGGTTCTGCAATAAATTCTTTTCTACCGTTATCAATGCATATAATCTTCTGAACAACACACAAAACACATATGTTAAAATCATACAGAAGATAAGCAAGTTCTTTGTTACTGATTTTCTTCTTTACCCCCATTCTGACTCTTGTTTTTGCATTCTAGTTACGTGTCTTACAGATCCTCCTGTTATTTGGACTACACTCACAATAAAAGCTGTAACTGTTTGTGCAAATTCATTTTCAGTTTTGAAAAGGAATGCATGGTTTCTGATATAAGTACTATGTATCTGAATACTTTGAATACCTGATGACATAGCTCATGTACAATGACCATGGTGACATCCAGCAGGTATGATATAGAAGAAATGCTTGGATCCAGTAGTATCCTTTGCTCCACAAAAACACTCAGTCCCCAGTTCTCCATAGCAGCATAGGGATGTTTAGGCACAGCTAACAGATCTGAAAACAAAGAAAAAAATATGTTAACTTCCTTTGAAAGATATTTTACTGAAGAGCTATTGTAGATAAAGCCATAAACAATCATTAAAAACATTTTAAATAACATAAACATAAAAACAGGACTGTTAATTTCAGCTCTCTAGCATTTCTACTTAGGAAACACTAATAAAATATCAATTTTTGTTCTTATATCACTACCTGTTAATGATAGTTATGTTATTTATGTAATAGTACTTAGTATTTTTAATTGAAGAAATTACCTATATAGAGTATAGATTATTTTAAAATATCTTGATGTAGATTTACTGATGAGTTTGATGCTACTTCTCATGTTTACTACACCACAATGAAAGCAGTAGCATAGATTTTAACAAAAGTACTGTTTATCTTTTCATTAAAGTGACTTCTTTATGAATATCTTTCAAGTCAAACTATATGTAAGGATATACATTAGGGGAAGAATGAAGAAATCTTGTTTCATAACAATTAGAAAGAATCATAGAATCATCACAGAATCATAGAATCACAAGTTTGGAAACAACCTGCAAGATCATCTAGTCCAACCATCTTCTCATTACCACTGCTACCACAAGCACTAACCCATATCTTGCAGCTCCTCATCCAGATGCCTCTTGAACACTGCCATGGACGGTGACTCCATCACCTCCCTGGGCAGCCATTCCAGTGCCTGACCACTCTCTAAGAGAAATAGTTTTTTCTCATGTCTAACCTAAACATCCTCTGGTACAATTTGTGGCCATTTCCCCAGGTCCTGTTTGTTGCCTGGGATAAGAGGCCAAACCTCTCCTCACCCCAACCTCCCTTCGGGAAGTTATAGAGTGCAATGAGGTCTCTCCTGAGCCTCCTCTTCTCCAGAATGAACAATCCGAGCTCCCTCAGCTGCTCCTCATAAGACCTGTGCTCCAGACCCCTCACCCCCCTTCTCTGGACACACTCCAGGGGCCTCAATGTCTTTCTTGTAGTGAGGGGCCCAAAACTGAACACAGTACTCAAGATGCAGCCTCACCAGTGCTGAATACAGAGGGATGATCACCTCTCTGCTCCTGCTGGCCATATATTTCTAATGCAGGCCAGATGCCATTGGACCACCTGGGCACACTGCTGGCTCATGTTCAGCCGAGCATCAACCAACACCCCCAGGTCCCTCTCTTCTTCACAGTCATCCAGCCACTCATCCCCAAGCCTATAATGCTGCATGGGGTTGTTGTGGCCAAAGTGCAGGACCCGACACTTGGCCTTGTTGAACCTCAGCCCATTCACCTCAGCCCAGCGATCCAGCTTGTCTAAATCCCTCTGAAGGGCCTCCCTACCCTCAGACAGATCGACACCACCTCCCAGCTTGGCGTCATCTGCAAACTTACTGAGGGTACACTCAATCCCCTCATCTAGGTCATCAATAAAGATATTAAACAAGATGGGTCCCAGTACCAACCCCTGGGGGACACCACTTGTTACGGGTTGCCAGATGGACTTAACTCCATTCACCACTACCTGTTGGGCACAGCCCTCTAGCCAGTTCCTACCCGAAAAAGGGTAGACCTGTCCAGTCCACGGGCAGCCAGTTTCCCCAGAAGAAGCCTGTGAGGGACCGTGTCAAAACCTTTGCTGAAGTCTAGGTAGTCTACATCAACAGCCCTTCCCTCATCTACCAGTTTGGTCACCCAGTCGTAGAAGGAGAAGTTCACAAGCTGTTCAGAAGTTCACAAACTCTTTAGAATCTCCTTGCCAAAACAAGGCATCTTTCAGTACATGGTATTGCTAGCAGCCCCTCTGAGGATGGAACTATTGACAGCCCTGTTTCAGTTCCACAGGCTGGAACAATGGTGCCAGATGCAATAAAAGATGAGTTACTTCAGCTTAGTACCCAGTAAGAGATAAAACAGTATGAAGAAGATGGGAATTCCATCTTATTAAAAAAAAAATATTAAAATGAGTGACAGGAAATTTCTCTCAGTGGCAAGAGGTTCAAGAAGACACTGTTACAATGGCTATCCAGATGCTAGTAAGATCTTACAGAAAGTGGCAGAGAAGAAATTCAAATTGACCAGTCTGGAAATAGAATTAGAGTAAACTGACATAAGGAATAAACAAATATGCAGTGCTGCTCCACTGCAAAAATATCTGAAAGAGTCTAGAAACAGCTTCTAAGTCTACAAGAAGGCCAGTGCAAATCAGCCAGGCTTTTGGAAGCTATACTGTCACATCAGCATGGTGCTCTTTTCTAGTTGAATTAATTAGCCTGGCTTCTTAATTAATTAGCCTGGCTAATATACTCCTCTCATTTGGCTATGTTACTTCTGGTTCCAAAGCCAGTTCATTCCTAACCAACACACATAGATTTAGGCAGTGGGATGAATGATCTCTGGATTGACTCCTCCCAAAGAAGTGAAATTATGACTTGCTTACAGACAGCAATTCTATTACAGCACACACATCTCCTACATTCTCCTATTTTGGTTTCCTTATCTACATGGTAGAATTGGCTTGAAGAACAACCTGACAGCAGGAGCTCTACTTCAGGATTCATAGAAAGAAGCCACAGAAATATCAGGAGTAGATAAAGAACTCAGATATATTTCAGTATTCCCCAAAATGGGCATAAAAAAAAAAAATTTTTTGCAAGTAGTAAATAAAACACAGACCTCAAGTGGAAGCGCAGAGAGAGCATAGCAGCTACTTCCAAATACAAAAAAAAAAAAAAAAAACCCTGAAAATAGCCAAATTGCAGAGGAACTACAAAGGATAAATAACAAATATTCATATAAAGGCAAACATTAGAACAAGAACTTAATTAAGGAGAGCAAAGCAAAAATCCAAAGCATGGTGTTCAAGAGGAGACTGCCAGTTAATGCAGATTTACATGCTTTAATTTTCTTCTTCAGTTGAAACTTGAAACATACTACTTTTATAGAATAACTGCAATTTGTTATTATTAACATGAAAAAACTCCCATCTGCTATACAAAGGAAAGATAAGCATTAAAAGATGTCACAAAGGCTACAGGGTGAAATCACTGAACTTAATGGCAAATATTCATTAAATTTAAACAGGGACCTTTCCTATTCTTAGCTGTGTAAAGAAAGCTGTAACTTTTCCTGCAGTGATTAAACTTTCATTTAAAAAGTATCTTCAGAAGAACATAGAAAGAATGATTCTAATTTACTCCCAGTTTTCAACAACAACTTTCAAATCAGCAAAGTGATATCAAAATAAAACTATCACAAAAGAAAAACTATTTCATACTTGCACTGATTGTTTTGCTTCCTTTCTCTCTTTTGCATTCATTTGAATTTTCTGGTCTTTCTTGTCAGTCATAGCAGACACATTTTGTTAGTGTCAGCAAATAATAAAGTGAAATAACTCTGTGGCACTGGGAAACTGAGGTCTCATGATGTTCAGGAAAGGAGTTCACCCCCACCTAAATACAAAGGTATTTATTTAGCTTATTACTGACTGTTTCAGTATTTGTTCCATTGGCAATGGTCTGGTGGCTTAGATGGATACATGGTAGCACTGACATACCAGTAAAACCCTCCAGTCTGACTGATGGCTAGCTGCCTTCCAGGCAGACAACAGCAGAGAAATACTCTAAATCACTTTCTTATTGCGCAATGCCATTGCTCTGCAAGCCTTGATATTCCTTTCACTCATCAACTAATGCACTGTAATGCCAAGAAGACAACTTCCTTAATCTCCAGCAACTGACAAACTGGACTCTGAATGTACTTGTTAATACAACAGGACAAATTCTTTTTCTTCTCATTGTCCATGTCTAAAATCAGAATTCCCAGTCTTACTGTTAATTCAGAAACAAAATTCTTCAGAAGTCAATCTTGATTGATCCCCAGATTCCTACCACCTTTAAACAAAATCCCCAATTTGGGTCCAAGACAATTATCTGCCCTATTATCCAGGGAGCAAAAATATTTCATTTCAGAGAAACAATGTTTGATGTTCAAGTCTCATCCGAGGAATTTGCATTTTCCTCTGCCTACTACACCACAAAAGAACTGAGGAAGGTCTCTAATGGTCCTCAAGGTGACACCCACTAAGGCTTAAAGATAATTTTCGAGGAGCAAGGTACAAAAGGAGGGGTAATTATGAACATTTTGATACAAACATTATTCACCCATTGTATTGCTCAAAAGCATTCTATACTAACTGCAAAAATATGAACTACTGAATATATAACAGCTTGTGCACATGCTGTATCCAGTTACTCTGCACAGTATTTAATTAAATTCTTTCTAAAGCACTCGTGAATGTTTGATTATGTAGATATTGCAGGGGAAATAGAAGTGCTTGTTATTGCTTGCAGAGAATAATATCCCCATGCATCATAAAAGTGTTACTTGAGATTTCCTGATACAGCAGGCAGAGGTCTGTGCACCACTGGAATAGAACTCCACCTCTTGGCCTTCACAGAGACTAAATTTATGACTGAATAAAATCACCACAGCTAAAATAAAATCATCACAAAAGCCATTCAAACTAAAAGGCGTTGGAACATCACATTAATGTACGACAGTGGTACAATTACTCAGATTCAAATTGCTCAAATACATACAGATATTTCTGAAATATGGTCCTATGCAAATCTCATTTTTCAGCAGTTCAGGTTACAAGAACTGTAAATAGCTCAGCAGCTCCTTTTACTTCCAAACATTCAATTAAGGCATCATAACTATGTGAGCTTAAATCAAAATATAATTGTCCAACATTATTAGCAAGTATCATCATCATACAAAATAGAAATTAGCAATTCATCACCTAACTTGGTCACAAAGAGAATCCACTTTCAACATGACTACCTATTAATTTAGCATTGGTGTAATTTGAAGATATGACACTGTTTTTTCTCTTTTTCTACTCATTTATAGTAGTGAATTCCCCAACTGTGAACATCATTCTAACTTTAAATGAGAGCAGAATTAGAATTAAATATGATTAAATGCAAAACAAGACACAAGTGTCACAGA